TCAGTAGGGTTTCTGGAAAGGGTGGAGAATCTGTGAAGAAGACTGTCTGCTAAATGTTCACGACAGTTGTCTTTGTTTTTCATACCCAGACCCAACTTAACTCATTAGTTAAGTTGCTGCTGCTGTTGTTGTTAAAGCTAAATCACAGTTTAAGGGTCACGTGGGGGAAGTGTCTGCCTTTACTGTACGGGGAAGGAGGAAGAGACCTTAAAGGAAAGCACAGGGAGAATACAAGTACATCAAAAAAATATAAATACATCGTCAGCAGGCTAATGGAGTGGAGATGAAACACCCAGTTAATTTATTCACCAAGCCAAGTTTTCCTTTCTAATGGAATCTTTTAAAGGACTGTTTATGTGTCCTGGTGCCAGTATTCAGTGTTGTTTCAGTTCGTTATGTGTAATTTTTCATTCAGTCTTCCTACGGCGTCGCATCACAAAACAAGTCACCTCTAAACAGTTTCATTGGTCCACTCAAGAGCCAACAATTCTTGACAGAGCTGAACACAGCATCACAGCTTATGATCCCAGTGATCACAGGGAAGAACCATCGCTAGCAGGTTGCTGGATCATTGGAGGAGCTTATTTTATGCAGGTTTAGTTCTTGTAGTAGATAATCGCAAGAGACAGAACTCTGAAGGAGGAAATAGTTGGTCTTTCTGCAGGGCTGATCTAACAGTGGCATCATTTCAAACAGGGCTTGAAGCCCCAGAAAGCTGATCCTGTTGCCCAGTGTTACAATGGCAATAGTAGTTGAGTTACAGTACTCGTAGTTCTGCGTGTACTTGCCGTAAGTCAAAGTTGTCGCTCAGTGTGCACATTTATTAATCTAAGATAAACAACAAAGGTGACATGCTTTGTTTCCAGGGTGCAGTTACTTTAATTATTTACTAGTCTGTTGATTGCTTTTAAAGTAAATGAATAAAGTTACTAAAGTTTGTTTGCAAGTTTGAGTCTGTGAATGGCGAACTGCAGTTCTCACAGTCACACCATGTTAAGTCTTCATACTTTACAGTTTCTGCTGTAAATTTCTTGTCTTGAAATTTCTAGTGGACTGATTTCAGCTTCACTTTCCCTTGCATATGTATAATGTGTATATATTGAATATTGTAGTTTGCAGCTTTATGTTGGCAAAATTTCAAAACTACCAGCTTGCTTGTTTAGCTTTACTTGTATCATATCTAATGACTTTTAAAACAAATTGCTGGCAGTTTTAGAAAAAGCTCTACATTGTATGTTACCTTAGATAAGTTTAACTTTGACTGCAGCTGAACTTATTGGAATCACTCCTCCAGAAACATCATCAGACCGGCTCCTCTGCTGTACTTTGACTCCATCTGCTGGCTGTTTGCAGAATTGCATCATTAACTAGAAATTCTGACTTTTCTTAGCAGGCTGTGTAAATACTTGTGGTGAAGGGCTCCCTTTCATTTGCTTAACCACAACTACATTGCTGTTGTGCAGTTGTACAAATACACAAAAGACTGAGTCAGTAGTAAATCTTTGAGCCCCAGCAAAGATCTTCCTGATGGGATTTTGTATTTTAACATGGCACTTGTGTGTCTAAACTTCACAAGAAAGCTTCAAAAAAATGTTCAAGTTTAATCTTCGTCTTTCATGAGTACAATATTAGCATTAGCAGCTGTCGAGTTAAACTAGATGTCAGTGATATGAAGAGATTTTGCTGCAAATGGGTGCACAAAAGTAACGTCTACCAAAAAGTCACTTTTAGTGCTGCACAGAGTTTCAAAAGTACATTTGAAGGTGCCTAACTGTCAAATATTTTTACTGTCAAAGCGCTGAAATGCTGCCTGTTTAAATGAGAAAAGCCTGTGAGGCTGTTACTTTCAAGTGTGAAGTGCTCAGACAAAAAATGTCCATGAAAGCAAGTACAATGATTTAATCACAATGATTTAAACGAACTAAAGCTAACACTGTAATACTCATCTCTCTTCTGTCAATATTAAGCCTATTTCTGACATTTCTGATTTATTTATGAAATAGTTTTTCTGTGCATGCCATAAGGTTTTTTTCCTCTGTGAGATGAAAGCACCTTTTCCATCAGTACCTACTCTGCTTAACTCGCCACAGTTTTCGGGGTTTTCCATTAGGTCATAGTACCAGGTACTAAAATAGTACTGCTCGGCCGACGTACCAAGTGATCCGATACTAAAATGTGACGTCATCAGACTGCATGCCACCGATTGGCTGGTCAGTGGTATCACTTGATGAGTCATTAGTCTCTCGTTCCCGAAAATCAAAACCGCCATTTTTGAAACAACGCTGTGGTCCCCGAGCCCGAAAAGCCACAGATCGAGCAGCCACCGACGTCCACCTTTGCTGTAGCGTTCGTATCGCATACTGAATGCATCACAGGACGCTCAGCAGCGTTGCTATGACGACGACCATTCACATTTAAGCTGTACTCTATTGTAATGGAAAAGCAGTCGATCCAAGTCGAGTCGTGGCGAGTTAATCTGAGTAGGTACTTCAGGGAAAAGGGGCTTAACCCTCACAATGTCCAGGTTAATTTGGGGGGAGGCAAAGAATTTATTGCTGGTAACGCAGGAAGACACCCATCAACAGACCGAAACTGTTGGCCTGTATTTAGACGACAAACAAAACTGGCAAACTGTCTTTTAGAAACATGATCTGAAGCCAGGACAGGCTTGTCCTCATCCTGAGTAGTTACCAGGGTGGTTTACTGCTTACTCAGGCGAGGTCCTGTAGCTTGAGTTGTTGCTCTTTTGGTCTGAGTTTTTGGGGAATTGTATGCAAGTACATAAACATTAATGGATTTTTAACAGTTTGGCTCACAGGGGCACAAACCTGGGACATGTCATACAAAAGCAGTAGTGGCCATACAAGTCAGGACTGTTGCTGTTCTTGTTGTTATCCCTGCAGGACTGGTCTGCATACATTTAATTCAAGCAGTGTGCTTTATCTTATTTAACAGAAAACTCTGGATTTTGTATTTGGCTAAACTAAAAACCACTTTAAAAAATTGTTACTTTTTTGGTCATTGTTACTTTTTTTAGTAAACCCAGAAATCTTTTTTTGTTTGGCAAATATTTGTTTATGTGCAGTAAAACCCCCACTCTGGCCTGCTTATATAACAGGAACGACCTGACACTGGCACGTCTTTATAGATGTCAGCTGTGCAGGCCAAATATCTAAGAGTTGCTAAGTGGTGTAAGTTGTAAATAAGGAAGAACCTCTCAGTTTCAGAGTAGTACAAGTATTTGACATTCTGGTGTTTGGATTAGTTTAAGTAATCTAAGTTACTTCTAGCTCTTGATTTATGTGAATTTACAGAAATGTATGTGGGACTTTTGCAGTCCTAGCATAGATAATCCACTCTGCCATCCATGGGTGGCAGTGTAAACGACTATAGTGTTAAAATAAAGATGGGAGATAAATCGAAAGAAAAATCTCACTAAGCCATCAGAAGCTCTTCAGTGTATCTTGACACATATTTTCCAAAGTAGGAAAATCATTCTTCAGTTCATGTTGATGAAAGCGTGACCCATCGTCATCTAAGAAGAGACCCTTCAACTCAGGTTTAAATGTTCCAACGTAGGATGAGGAGGGGACTCACTAAGAACACATTTGTATAAATTTATAGCTACACTTAAACTTTAACACACCTGTCTAGACAGTCTATATATATCTCTGCTATAAATCGGTGTTTCGTGCACAGGATCTGCTTGGGCAGTCAGTCCAAGTGTTTTTATTTTTTTTCATGTGTTTGAGACGAAGACAGCAGCAGCAGCGATCGATTGCTCTTATTTGAAAGGTTTGGCTGTTTTTAACCAGCTACAACCGGCTCTTCCCATCCTGCGTTTCCCAGTGTGTGCCTGCCCCGACACCGGCACCGCCAGGAATAGAATTCAAACCTGTGGGAAACATGAGCGATATTCCTCTGTGTGGGTGTTGATGGAGTGTTTTTGCTGACGCAGTCTTGTTTTGTCCTGCACTGACGCTCTCCCCTGAGGAAATGTTGCTCTTCTGCTTTTTCTTGCATATCACACTAATGCACAGTCATCACGGTCATAGAACGTGGAGCTGTTTATGGTTCATGTCTGTGCTGGAAGAAGATGAACCTCTGAAATCACTGAGATGTTTGTCTTTCCATCGAGTCTTCCTGCTCAGTGTGTTAGTGCCTCATTGTTCCATACGGTGGACTGTGTGAAAG